AGAAAGTACAAGAAAAGCATAGTAGAAACAGTGAGCAGAGGTGTGAGACAAAGGAGTAATAAAGAAAAACAAAACAGTTTCATTGGAGATCATAAGTCACAGGGAGTGGATGCATCTGCGCCACTGAGAACGGTTTTGAGCCATGTCACCAATCGTTTCCAACCATTGATTTTTACCGTCTCGAGGACCCCAGCCTGGAAGTCTACATCTCCCTACATGGCTTAGACCAACTGTTGTGGATTTCATTGACTGGTGAAGCCAAGTTTTTGTTTGACCGCCGCTAGCTTTTTTCCAGCCTGACCCTATATCCGCTAACATTGCTCGTCGAGGGAGGCGATGGCTTGGCATACGCAACACATGTCCTAACCATCTCAGTCTTTGTAGCTTCACGACTTCGTCGATTGATTTCCCCTGTTTACCTAGAACTCTACGCCTAACCTCCATGTTGCTCACCTTATTATGCCACTATACACGGGAAATAGAGCGCAGGCACCTATGATCAAAGACAGCTAGTCTTTTCGTGTCTTCCACTCTCAGTGGCCAGGTCTCACAACCATAAAGGAGGACGGAGTGGACTGATGAGCAGTACACCCGCCCTTTGGTCGATAGTCGAACATCTCGTCTACGCCAGAGTCGGCGTAAACTAACAAATGCGAAACGAGCCCCTTGTATTCGTGCTGAAATTTCGTCAGAGATCAGCCCGTTGGGGCTGATGGTACTTCCCAAATAAGTGAAGCGGTCAACGTGCTCTACCAATTCACTTCCTATTTTTAAACTAGGCGTCGATGTAGTCCAGTCCTGTAACATCATCTTGCATTTGGCGGGAGCGAATCGCATGCCAAACATTCGTAGATTGCGGCTCAAGGTGTTTAGAAGACTCTGCATTTCGTCAGCGTCTTCGCCTAGAAGGACTATATCGTCTGCATATTCCAAGTCAACGAGATTATTCCCTGGTAGCAAGTCAATCCCTGAGTCACTGAAGTCACCTAGGGTTAAGTCCATTAACACATCTATGATGAAGTTGAATAGAAAAGGGGATAATGGGCATCCTTGACGGACACCACTGGTCGTCATCAGTTCAGATGACAGCTCGCCGTAAGCCCTCACCTGGCTGTATGAGTACGAGTAGAGTGCCTTAATCAGTGCAATATATTTTCTTGGAATTCCCTTTACAGCCAAGCATCTCCAGAGAACTTCTCTTTCGACAGAGTCGAATGCTGCCTTTAGGTCAAGAAATATAATGACTGTTGGACGCCGGTAGGAATGCCTATGTTCTAGAATCTGTCGGAGGGTGAAGATATGATCAATACACCCTCTTCCTGGTCTAAAGCCTGCCTGGCTCTCTCGTGTTTGTGCTTCCCGAGCACCACTCAGTCTACGCATGATTATTGAGCCTAAGACTTTAGATACTATATTAGTCAAGCTAATCCCTCTGTGATTATCACAGGAAGACTTGTCTCCCTTCTTGTATATGGGGATAATCAGTGACTTACACCAACCCGATGGGACTTTTTCTGATTCCCAGACGCTGCCTAGTACCTCAGTTAATCCGGACAGTAAGCTGTCTCCACCGTACTTAAATACCTCTGGAGTCATTCCATCAGGTCCCGCTGCTTTGCCTAGTTTCAGATTGGTGACAGCTTTAGTAACCTCAGTTAGTGACGGAGGACCTGTGTTTATATCCCATTCAGGGAGGTGTTGGATGCTCGGAAGGTTGAGCGTGGCTGTGGGCAAATTAAACTGCTCCTCATAATGCTCTTTCCAACGATCCAGTCGTCTATCCTGTGAGCTAATTATAGTGCCATTTTTTTCCGAGATTGTCTCACTGATGATTTGTCTTCTCTCACCCGTTTACCTGATGAGTTTAAAGACTTGCCTGGTGTTGCCTATCCTCAAAGCTTTCTCCACCTCCTTGGCTTTTGTCGCCCACCACTGTTCACGGTCCTTGCGGAGACTTTTCGTAAGTTTCCTCTTGTGCAGCTTTCGCTCCTCATTGGGGTGGGTAGTTGGTAGCCACTCATACTTCCCTTTCTCCCGGGCTTACTACAGGCTAGGTGAAGTTTAGGAGTCTACCGACCGGGAATTGAACCTCAAACCTCGTGAGGATTGGCTGGCGAACATTCTCTTCCTGAAGCATCGATGCACTCCCCTAATATCATACTGTAACGGAATGTTTACTTGGGAATATGATATCTCTATATTGTGGACCAATTCTGATCATCATCAACGGGAGAGAGGTTACCTCCTTCACTTATCTAGCTAGGAAGCATCGTTTCAACCACAGGCTGGCGAAACGGATGAAGATGTCAAAGTTAGAATCGGAAAGGCAAGATACACCTTCATCAACCTGAAACCGATTTGGAAATGTTCCGCACTCAGCGTAAATTAACAAGAATCGGATTTTTAACACAAATGTCAAATCGGTGCTTCTATACAGGTTAAAACTTGGCGTTTTTTTGCAACAGCCTGTTGCAGACTTTGATCAACAGCTGCCTTCACTTGCTCCATAGTGAAGATCAAATGGTCAGATGGCCAGAAAGAATTAGCAACAAGAAATTATGGGGACAAACCAACCAAGGACCGATTGCTCAACAAATATGTAGGAGAAAAAGGGCAATGGATCAGGCAAACGCCACACTGAGGAGCCCGTCAAATGACATCGCACGCCAAACACTCTAGTGGAATCAAAATTGGAAGCGAAGAGTACGTCGTCCTAAGGTAACATGGAGTAGATCGTGTGAGGGAGAGATGAGAGATTATGAGCGACCGGGGAGCCAGCTGAAGAGGGCGGCAGAAAATAGAACAAAGTGGAGATATGTAATGGAAACCACATATTCCACTCAGAACCCAAGGGAACAATAATAGTAGTATGAAAATCGTCATTTGCTCAGAGCTTCCGTGTTGTTGTGCTACTTCTTCTCTTCCTTCGCATTGTGTCTCGATGTCTTTTCTTCGTGTCTCCCATGTTTTACCACGATACCGGAAGTCGAATCTATCTTTCCCCTATTTTATATTTTTGTGCCAATGAACATCTCTTTGCATATACTACTAATAAATCTTATCAGTAGTACAAGCCACAATACTTCAAAGCATTAAGATAATAAGAGTTAAAAAAAAACAGTTTATTCACTTACCATAGAGCAAATAAATATTACCAGCTTTCCTTTGTATTCTTAATGAACCTTCTCGACCAATAATAATTGCTGAAAATTCATTTTTATCCACGGATGAACGAATCATTTGTGCTGAATGGGCGGATAAACCAGCCCCTTGAGGAAATCCAGTCAGTAAGGGTTCATTTAAAGCAGGCGGTAACCAACTGTTTGACAGTGTGTCAAATGTATGTACACCTGGGATTCGGATACGTCCATTCCATCCGCCTGTTTTATTGAACAATTTTGAATAAAATGAGATAGGAATGGACACGTGTTATTATTTAGGATTTATTCGGGATAACTAAGACTCTCTTTAGGCAGTCAAATGCTTCATCATGTTTCGATAAAGAAAGGAAGACGAAATTTGCAGTATAAAATGATATCATTCTATTTCATAGGTTCTCATCATCATGTATTTTGCCCGTCACTTGACTTGAAGCTCGTCCATTGCCAATTTCGGTCTCGCCAGTCGTCCAAACAAGGGATGCAGTAAGAGATGTCACATTCCCTGACCATCGTATACTTTTCTAATATTGGCGTCCCTATATAGATATATATATATAATGTTTGATATTTCTTCTTCTTTTTCTTGCTTATCCGTTATAAGAGAGTGTGCTCGTCTAAGAAGACTTGAAACAACTGAAATCTCTGCACTGATGGGGTGTGATGATTTGAAGTCTAAATATTTGTTTTGGAGTGGCTTTTCTTCCTGAATATAAACTAAAATTTCCGTTTTCCCTTCTCTTAACTAGGCAGTCTAGAAATGGTAGTTGACTGACGTCTGATTCTGCTTCCGAGGTAAACTGGATTCTGGGAGATACACAGTTTATTTTCTCCAGGAATGAATTGTGTAGATCTCGTTTTAGTTCTACAAAAGTATCATCCACATATCTTAACCATATTTTAGGAGTGAGTATTCTTGAAAGGATGTTATTTTCGGATCTATTCACGAATCTATTATAATTTTACACACTGATCAAATCTAACAATCTACACTTGATTTTGTTATCTTTAGCAATTGACCAACGTGACAATGAAAAATGCCCCCAGACTGACGGACGATGATCAAGTTAGTAAACTTTGTTTTGATATCATAACAGACGTACCATTACCTCTGTTATTTGGTTTTAGTGATCTTCATTGTTATTTTGACTTTCAATATGTCCCTTTAACTTGACCTAACTTGTCTATTTTCTCACCCCTTAACTCTTTGTTATATATATGCTGAGATTTTGTGAATTCCGGTTTAATGATAGTTTGATATGGCTATTAGCTGCATTAAATAGCGAAACGTCAGTAAAAACAACATCGTTTTATTTTTCATTCATTGAGAAATACAAGAAAACCTTTATTATAATGAATATCATATACCAAATGCCCAAATTTTTTCAAATTGTTAAAAGTCAACTTGGTTTGGACCATATATAACAACTATTTGTCATTAAAAAGCAAAGATTACAATCAACTGAGACATTCATTTCGCTTACCAATAAATATTAAATATCTATCCTTGAAAGTTAAGCACGTGTGTTGACTAAGCTGAGGTGAATCTGCCGTGGTAATGTCTAACCAACTGCCAACTTCAGGATATAACTGGATTTTATAAAAACAACTGCTTGGTTTTTTACACAGTGCATTATTCGACGTTACTCCCCCATGGATGTATAGGACACCTTGACAAATAGCGCCTAAAATTCTTCAATATCAGTACGGAGAAAGAAGAAAAACACATTTAGTACCAGCATGATTTTGTAGGGTAGGACCATCAGTCGAGGTGTTTACTTCAACCCATTGTAGAGAACACTGATCAGGCATTTGTTGAATGATTTAATTCTCTGGTGAAATCTATCTAGTTATAATAATATCAGATCCAGATTTTTTGATTGAGGATAAAGTCTGTGTTAATCCTTTTATTAGTAAATTTCTATGCTTGATCAAACCCTTCTGGAATGAGCCAACTGAAGACGTGCTGATACCAGTCTTCCTGAGTTTCAGTTCCAGGAGTCGATGAGAATGAATACTCCGCAGCGATATAGTTCCTCCCTGGCTTTCGAACTCTCCTGCTGTGTCCTCTAAGGTGTTCTGATCACCTGGTGGGAAGGAAAACAGACAATAGATGAGGTTCGTAATCATCATTTAATGACGGTACGAAAGGAAGAAGAGGTTTAAACTGTTTAGTCATGCCAAGAATCATACTTGTAGCCTTCCTTTGAACCCTTTCTAGAATATGTGAGTCCCCCAAAAGACAAAAGCTGAATACCTGAATACAATTCTTCAGTCTTGACCTCATCAGAGATACATATAAAGAAGTGAACATATCTCTGGTAATTCTAGCAAAAGGTTTTGAGAATTGCCTATAAATATCTGAAACTACATGCTGCCGCTATGCGAAAATTTGCTTCAGTTTATAAATCTTGACCTTAATCAAAATGAGTGAGAGTGTTGCTCGCACGCTTGCGCGTCCAATGCACATGGTTGGACATTTCGCTACATTGATTGGAAGTATCCATTTTTTGAACCCCCGACTAACAATTTGCTGAGATCTTTTTGCTACGTGAGAGTATCATTGTCGCCCTTCAGCTACCTCCAATTTTTTAAGTTATCTGCGTAAATACAAGTAGGAATTTGAGTTTGTCAATAATTCACAGGTATAAAATTCAAACTAAATATGGCGATGTTTGAGAAGTAAGTTGTACAGCTTCTGTCAAGTCCTAACGTGTAAGCTTGCTTTATTTAAATGTCTTTTACCCGTCATTATTAGCAAGTTCGTTTCTGCTACAATGACTGAGGACAAATTAAGGAAGACTTTGTGTTATGTACTCGTCGCTAAATTATTGTTATGGACTGGTCGAGAAACTAATAGTCCTGACGCAAGAAGGCGGAAATCAGTAGACCACTAGGTTTGCGATGATACTTCTATTTTCCAACACAATGAGAAGCAAATAAGTGGTATCACACCAAAGTGGTGGTAAGTGAAAGTCACACAAATTGTGAGGACGAAATATATATATCAAGGGTGTGAACAATCATTAGACAGTCTTAACATGAATGGCTAATTATAATGAAGTATCGATTCATATATACATAGCGAATACAGCAGACATGTCAACAACAACCATATATGGATATGTCACTAAGCAACGGACTGTCAACAAACACTCATATTATATTATATATAATATAAGGAGAATATACACTGTTAAAGGAGACAAGTTCATGCAAGTGAAATGGTCACAGACTAAGAGAGCAAACAGAAAGAGAGACCAACATACACACACACACACATAAATATATAAATGGATACATATCACTTTAAAAGCCAGCACTAAGGCCTACTTCCACGACGTACATGATCGCGTAGCAAAAAGGGGAAGCCAGCGAAGAGTAAGAAAATATTTTCGGGTTAACTGAAATTACTATACCGCAAACAGTGTCACTGTATGCATGTCACTCGACGAAATTTTGATTTAATTTTCATAGGTTGTTGTAGACAATAAGAAGAGTGACCAGGGGAGCTCTGACATAAGTGACAATTTAATTAAATGAATGCTGCAAAAGTGTATAATGCAACTGCCAGTAGCGTGTAATTGTAAACGATATGATAATTAGCGCTGTCACCTATATAAGCCACATATTTATGTTGACAGTTGGTTAAACAGTTAATGGTTTTTCCATGATCACTCAACTGTTATTAAATGGGTAGGGGAAATTTCCACGTTTAAAAAATAGACCTTGTGTGACCAATTATTTATTGATTATTGATTTCTACCAAATAACTAAGAAACTTTTGGCAACTAAATTACTCCGTTTAATATATAATTATTATAACATAGCTCAGCACAAGTAAATGTGACCGTTGATTACAGCCTTGCTCACTAGTAATTTACTCCCATTTCAGAATACTTAAATGGATCAATTTAAGGATTAATACACACTTAGAATTACAGATAATTCACACAAGCAGGATAATTGTGTTTCAGCATGATGTATCAATTCCGCATTACGCCTGACCGCCATCATCAAGTAGATCGATCTACTCTGTTGCGAATTATTTTCTATTCCTATTAAATGACTGAAATATATATCTTTTCCATTATGGACTTTATTTTATGGTCATCGCCTATGTTTTATATCACCAACCACGTTTATTTTTGAGAGAGCATGTAGCAGCAGTCGAAAGGTTCATTCCAAGAGAAAGATGGTTGCTAATTGGTTGAGATAAAGCGAATACGGAGGAAATTGTGCGACAAGAAGAAGGGAAAGAGGTCACTGTGCACAGAATCGGAAAAGTGGGAAATTTGTTGCTATTTCCAACTTTTATCCCCCTTTTTGATTAATTGGGCTCAAGGAGTAGTAAAACCTGGTAGAAACAAACACCACATTTTCAAAGATATGCTCCACTAGTACAAGAATATTTAAGAGATTAAAAATGCATTATACTTATTACATCTCTTATTTTAGTTTTACTCCTCTCCTGTCATTTACCACGTAACAATACATCCAAATTACGCTGGCTTCTGTTGTCATGTAAACGAATTCACGAGAAATGTGTTCAATATCCAATATCGTTTTTACGAGCTAGTATAAACCAATTTGATTTCTTTGTGCTGGCTTCCACGTGGGAGCCTATACCTACTCAATGGCAGAACACCTTTGTTTGGGTGATTCTGGTCATTTGTTATTTTGTAGGCAGTAATCAAATCCCCCCTAAGCCGACGGTAACTAAGTGTGAACAGGCCTAATTTCTTCAGCCTTTCATCATATGGTTTGTTTCGGAGACCAACCACTCCTTTTGTTGCCCGTCGTTGGACTCTTTCCAAGAGGTTGGCATCTCTTCTCAGCATTGGGGGTGCAATAATATTATGCACCTCAAGGTGTGGCCTGACGTATGTTTTGTACAACATTAGAAAGAGCTCAGGAGTGAGTGCACCTAACTGTCTATGCGTAAAGTGTATGACCGCATATGCCCTCGCTACATCCCCTGTGTAATTTACGCTTGTGTCCATTTTTTCCGTTAGAACTAGACCTAAGTCGCGTTCCGACGTTGTGCAGGACAAGCTTTCATTGCACAGGGTGTAACTTGCATTCTGCAGTCTACAGGTGCGCAACTTCACTACTTTGCACTTTTTCAAGTTGAAAGTCATGCCACTGGCCACCGCCCAGTCTTCCAGAAGGTTTAGGTCTTCCTGTAGCCTATCTGAGTCCTCCGGACACTTTATCGCCCTCCATATTTTTACGTCGTCAGCGTACAGGAGAGTCGGGCAGCTCAGACGGCGTGGTAGATCATTGATGAAAATCAAAAACATCAGTGGTCCTAGGATAGAACCCTGCGACACTCCTGATGACGATCTGTGCCAAGATGATCGGACTCGGTTAACCTTAGTGCAAAATTGCCTGTCGGCTAGGTAGTCCTTCAACCATGACAGAAGTGGCTCACCTATGCCTGCCTGTCTTATTTTATGTAGGAGAAGGTCATGGTGAACAGTGTCAAATGCCTTCTCAAAGTCTAGGAAGACCACATGGACTGGTACGTTCAAGTCCCAGCATGATGTCCAGTCGTCCCAAGCTGACAGTAGGTTAGTGACGCAGGATCTGCCTTTTCTGAAACCATGTTGGGCTTCATGTAGTATATTAGTCCTATCGAAATATTCCCTGATGTGGTCGTCAATAATACTTTCCAGTACTTTTGATACCACTGGGAGTAGAGCTACTGGTCTATAGCTAGCAGCGTTTTGCCTGTCCCCACCCTTGAAGATTGGAGAAAGGATGGCTCTTTTCCACTCCCTTGGCAGGGTCCCCGAATCCATTGAGTGTTGGAACAAGTCGCACAGGGGTCTACAGAGAGCCTCGGCGCACTGTTTCAGAACAGATGGCCTGATGTCATCACAACCTGGGGACTTCCCAGGTATGAGTCGCTGTAGCTTCCTTAGTACTATTGCGGGGTTTATTTGGGGAGTAGTCGCTAGGTCTTCCTCCTCTGAAATAGTGGTGCCACCATTTTGGTCCGTAACTGTAATATCCACATTGCTGTTTAGCTGTTTAGCGAAGGCTGAACTGAATGTTTCAGCCATCTCCAGACTAGTGAGATATTGACCGTTTGGGCCTACTAAGGCGCATGCCCCTTGGTTTGTCGGTTTTCTTTCCGACATGAATCGGTACAAGTTTTTAGGGTTTGATAGGAGTTTTTTAGCAAGGTTAGCCTGGAATGACCTTCTGTCCCTCCTGACTCTTGCATTACACCGGTTCCTGAGTTCGAGGTATGCATCATGGTCGGTCTGACTCTTAGATACACGCCACGTAAACCAAGCCTTCCGCTTTGCTTGCAGAATACGTTGCGTGCCTCTCTTCAACCATGACGTCTTTCTCTTGGCTGTGTTGTGACTAAAGGGACGGTATCCGAGATTGCTATATGGATAATCTTTTTTACCACTTCCCAGTGTTCATCCACAGATAGGTCGTCCCATGCTAAGGGCCAGTCTGCGTCGGACAAGAGCCTCCGCATTTCAGCATAGTCAGCCTTGCTGTAGCACAGACATGGTCGCGTAACATCCCATTGCAAACGCTCACGGAGGACAAGATCGAAACCTATGACTGCATGGTCACTGCTTCCCAGAGGAGTCATGATCTGGACCTTTTCGACGAGTAGCTGGTCACTAGTTAGAATATAATCTAGTTTTGATGACTTTCCACTAGGGCCCCACCTAGTGTCGTCTCCAACATTCTCAGTCAGTCCCGTGTTTCGAATAGTTTGCAGTAGGTTTCGGCCAAATTTTCCCTTAGCACACCCGGAGCCGAGGTTCAGTGATGGAGCATTGAAATCTCCAGCTATGGTGATTTGGTCGTAGCCCAAATCTCGTATTCCTGTGATAGTGCTGAGCAGTAGCTGATTGTGCTCTGCCCCACAGGTGGGAGATCGGTAGATGCCACCCAGTAAGTGCTTGGTGTGGCCTACGGTGAAATGACACCATATGGAGTCTGGGAGTT